AGTGGAACACAGAAGCCGCTTCTCAGGCAATGTCATTGGACAGACTATCAGAATCACCTGACTTCCTTCTTTCCTGCCCCTCCTCATCAACCGCCCCTCCTCATCAACCCTCCTCCTGGGTGAAAGCTTTAATTGGACCAGGATGCAGAGCTGGCTTGATCAACCAACCTTACAGGACCATCTTTCAGAAGGCGGAGCTATGGCAGCTATGGCACCAGGAGCTGCTGGATTGCAACATAATGCCTTGCGGGGGCCCAATTGTCAGAGGTCAAGAGTTTGGCTTTTGGCCCCAAGGACGGGTGGCAGATGGGGGTTCACTGGATGCTGGGCTGGAAACACCTAGGACAGAAATTCAAATTTTACTCACTTAAAAAGTTGCCTCCTTGTTTAAGGTAACAGCCAGAAGTGGGCTCACACCAGGTGAATTTAGGAACGACCTGCACCTGGAGTAGCTCCCGCTGGCATTTCTCTCTATTCTCTTTCCAATATTATGGTTTGATTGTCTTCCTTTTTTCACACGACTTTGTATTTTTTTTTTAAAGGAGAACTCTTGTTTTTTTGTTTATTTATTTATTTATTTATTTATTTATTTATTTATTTATTTATGCAAGCACTGGGTACAGTCAGAAGCACGGGAGGGTGAGAGAATTCACCAGAGCCAGAGCGGGGAGCAGAACAGGCAGAAGGACCGAAGTACACTGCTGAGGGGAGCAGCGGGTGACAGGAGAGGTCTGCGGGCCATGTGGGACCCTCTCGCCTGGCCGCCGGGGATTGAACCAGAGGCTGCAGAGGCTGCGGACAGCTTCCCAACCCAGCACTCAACCCTGCACCACCGGGGAGGTCCGACTTTGTATTTTTTTACTTCTGTAGTAAAATTTTTTGGGACATGGTTGGACACAATTAAATGTATACTGTATACATGCAAAACACTGTTCATTTGTAAGCATTTTGCATGCCAATGTTTTGCCTATTTAAAAAAAAGTGGGGCCTCCCTGGTGGCGCAAGGGGTTAAGTTGCAGCACTATGAAGCTATCCGCAGCCACTGCAGCATGAGTTTGAGAGTTTGATCTCTGGCCGGGGAGCTAACTCACATGGTGCAGGAGACCTCTCCTATCTTGCCTGCTACTCCCCTCAGCAGTGTATTTCAGTCAGTCTGCCTGTTCTGCTCCTCACTCTGTCTCTGGTGAACCCTCACAACCACCATGTCTCTGGCCTGCACCCCAGCTCTTATATGCATAAATAAATAAATCTTTAAAAAAAAAAAAAAAAAAAAGGAGGGTCTCCCCGGTGGCGCAGCGGTTGAGCGCTGGGTTGCGAAGCTGCCCGCGGCCTCTGTGGCGCCGGTTCGATCCCCGGCTGCTCCCCGGCCACCGGAGGAGGGTCCCACAAGGCGCGCAGACCTCTCCTGCCGCCCGCTGCTCCCCTCAGCAGTGTACTTCGGTCCTTCTGCCTGCTCTGCTCCCCGCTCTGGCTCTGGTGAGTTCTCTCACCCTCCCGTGCTTCTGACTGTGCCCAGTGCATGTATAAACAAAAAAAAGGAAAAGGGGAAAAAAAAAAAAAAAAGAACCGTCAGGCAAGTCTGGGAAACCAGCAGACAAGTCTGGGAGGAAAAGAGCAAAATCAAAAGCAAAATAAAAGCTGCCATTGCTAACCTCCCCAGAGGTGTCTCAACCCACATCTGTTTCAACCAGTCCAGGACCAGGAAGCAAGCGCATTTTCTTCAACTGTCTCTCTGTTCCATGTGCCTCCTCCTAGTCTCCATCCTTCTTCCTTCCTTCCCCAGTCTCCTCTCCAGCTTCTCCTTCTCCCTCCTCAGCTCCACCCTCCCTTGGGTGGGCCAGGGACCCTGGCATCTCCTCTTTTCCTGGAGACCACGTTGTTACTGTAGGAGCCAGGATTTGATGTTCTTTAAGGGAGAGAGAAAAATCCTATTCCGACTTAGGAAAAGAGTTGCTTCCCCACCTAGCTGGCGTTTGGGAGGTCGTGGGGGTGTAACAGGGTGGTCCCCAGGAAAGGGGGAGGTTCCAGGTTCCCTGCCCCACCCAAATGGAGGGTGGAGCTGAGCAGGGAGAGAAGAAGCTGCAGAGGAGACTGAGGAAGGAAGCAGGATGGAGCCAGGAGACCTGGAGGAGGCGCATGGAGCCTAGAGACACGTGAAGAAACTGCGCTTGTCTTTTGGTCGTGGACGGGGTGACACAGATGTGGGTGAGACCCGTGGGGAGGTGACCATGGCAGCTTTTATCTTGATGTTGATTTTGCTCTTTTCCTTCCGGGCTTGTCTGGTTGTTTCTGACCCTTTTCTGTGGGTCCCCACTGGAAGATGCTTTGGACTTGTGGCAGGCTTTGGGGCCTTGCTCTGGGCCGATCCCAAATGGATGGAGTTTTACCCACGAGGGGACGGGTAACTTTGGGTGCTTCATTTAGAAACTAGATTCTTTGCCTTTCCTGCATTGTTTCCTAGTTTTGTTAAAGTTCCTTCCCATTAAAGTCTCATATGTTTTGTGTTGATGCGGCGGATGGCAGAACCCATTTAGAATAGGCGGGTTTGCAGGGTCTGGGGTGCCCCTCTCCCTGCCCTGTAACAGGGGAAGCGCGGGATTGCAGCCCTGGCTCTGCGCGCGCTAGGGGCCGAAAGCGCTATCCCCGTTTAATATCGGGGTTGCTCTATAACACCAGCACCCGCTCCAGCAGCCTGGAGAAGGGTGGGTGACGCGCGTGCTCCTGTCCCGGAGCAGGCACGTGACCGTACCCCCCTTTCAGCCGCTCCCAGCCCCTGGCTATTCCAAGTTTAGGTAAAACTGAGTCCACGCGGTCCTCAGCAGAGAGGCCTCCCTCCTTCCCCAGCCCCCCACGAACTCGGACCACCCACGCGGCAGGGTCTGGCTGTCTGGGGGGACTGCGCATCCGGGGGGCAGAAAATGCTTCATTTGCCGTGAGGCTTGGAGTCATGTAGACTCGATTCGAATCCCAGCTGCTCCACCTACTACCTGATCACCCCACTTTGATTCCGTTTCCCCGTCCTGAAAGTGAGGCTAATAACTGTGCTCACCATTTACGGCTGCTGCGACAAGCAAGGGCACAACGTCAATAAGGCGTTCAGAGCTGTCGGGTCCTGGTCTCATATTCAGGGACTGGCGGTTGCGGTAACCCCGCTGTCCTCAGGGCGCGGGCTAGTGGCGGGGCGGCTCGCCGGGCAGCTCGGCCACCCCCGGGTACGCTCGGCCGGCGCCAGGCTGCAGGAGGCGGGGGTGGGGCGGGGGCAGGCAGTGACGCAGGTGCAGACCCGCCCGGCTCCCGCGCTGCCGTGCCCCAGACGGCTGCTGGCCCTGGTGTCCCGGCGGGTCGGGACGCGCGGCGGCTGCCAGGTTCCGCCAGTTCGGTGCATGCGAGGCGGCGGGATTCGGGATGACTTGGTTTAGGTGAGTGCCCCTGGGGCAGGTGAAAACCCCCTGGATGGTCAAACCTGGCCAGCCAGGTGTTCCGACGGAGCCAAAACGGGGGCCCGCAGACGCCAGAGTTGATAGAGGGGCCGTTTGGTCTCCAAATTAAGTTCGACCTGTCCCCACGTAGGTGGGGCTAGCGAGGAGGGGCTGTCGCAGCGGGACGCTCGTTCCTCCACGCAGTGCCTCCAGGGAGCACCGGCTTTCCAGTTGGAACATGCGACGGGGAGGTTGTCTCTGGGGGCTGTGAATGTGTGGCTCGGAAGTCGCGAGGGTGCGATGCGCCCTTGGAGCACAGGGTAGGGCTGGCCCAGCTTGGGACCCGAGGCGCTGACCAAGGCTGGGACCCGCCGCACGGAGCAGCTGGTTCTCCAGGTCTGGGCAGACTGAGAGCCGCAGCTCCTCCCTCCCGCGGTTTCAGAAAACCGGAATAGTCACGGGTTTAGGAAGGCTTTTAAAAAAAAAAATATTTCTTTATGCATACAAGAGCTGGGGTACAGGCCAGAGATGCGGGGGATGGGGGAGTGGAGTGGGGAGAGGATTCACCAGAGACAGAGTGGGGAACAGATCTAGCGAAGTACACTGCTGAGGGGAGCAGTGGGCGAGTCAGGAGAGGTCTGCTGTGCCATGTGGGTTGCTCCCTGGCCTCGAGGGATAGAACTCTTGCTGCAGAGGCTGAGAATTCTTCATAGTGCTGTGTTTAACGCCTTGCGCCACCATGGAGTTCCAGGAAGGCCATTTTTTTTTTTAAAGATTTATTGATTGATTGATTGATTGATTTATACATACATGCATACAAGCACTGGATACAGTCAGAAGTGCAGGAGGGTGAGAGAATTCACCAGAGCCAGAGCGGGGAGCAGAGCAGGCAGAAGGACCGAAGTACACTGCTGAGGGGAGCAGTGGGCGGCAGGGGAGGTCTGCGTGCCATGTGGGACCCTCCTCCAGTGGCCGGGGAGCAGCTGGGGATTGAACCAGCGCCGCAGAGGCTGTGGGCAGCTTCGCAACCCAACGCTCAACTGCTGCGCCACCCGGGAGGCCCTTACCCGGACTCTTGTGGGGAAATAGGGGTAGAAGCTGCTGCTTCCATGTGGAGTCTGAGCCCCTCTAATCATCTTCTGAGTCAGGGACGTATGCAATCACCTGCCTGAGGCTTCTGTTTTTCCAAGCTCCTCTTCATTTTGGACATTCCCTTCCCAGTGGCCATCCTCCCTGCAATTGGCACACTGTGTCTGAGGGCCCTGGTCTTTCCTTCATTTCCCCTCTGCCCAGCAAACCGAGTGTGGTTGTGCTGAGGTGGAGAGTTAAATGCACATAGGCTTTTGTTTCAGCTCTTCACGAGCTTTGTATACCTTGAATACAACATTTACAAGCTGAGAGGTGTGGGTGTGCGAATCCTAAAGGGTCTGTTCAGCCACCATTCTTTGTTACCTGCTGTTCTGCATTCCTGTACAAGGTCAGAACTGCCTGGCTAATCAGTCATAGGAGTCAAACCTTATAAGGTGCCTTTCAAATCAACCCAGAGCAGAAAGCTTGATCACCCTGGGAAGGATATGCACCATGAGGTATGACCGGGAACGCCTGGGGGCTGATGAATGATGCATAAATGTTCTCCCCACTTATATATCATGAGGTATGACCCGGAAGCCTGAGGGGCAGAGGACCCCAGAAGCTGATCTGTGGAATACCTTGTTGATAAGATTGAAACCATGGCTGGGGATCTAGTGCTTGATCTTAATTACAATACCGAGTCATCAAGCAGATGAGAAGTTCCTGGGGGGCTGACTCAAGTCCTGATGCTATAGATGACAACATATTTTCTACTTTTACTCTTCCTTTTTCTTTAAGATTTATTTATTTATGCATTCAGGAGCTGGGGTACAGGCCAGAGTTGTGGGGGGTGAGAGGATACGCCAGAGACAGAGTGGGGAAAAGAACAGGCAGATTGACCAAAGTACACTACTGAGGGGAGCAGCGGGTGAGTCAGGAGAGGTCTGCTGCGCCATGTGGGTTTCCCCCTGGCCGGCTGGGGATTGAACTCGTGCTGCAGTGGCTGTGGATTGCTTCATAAGTTGCGTCTTAAGCCCTTGCACCACCCGTGAGGCCCCCCTTCCTTTTTCTTTTTGTCCTTCTTCCCTTCACAACTGATGCTGTATGATTATTCTATCAATAAAAAGGCCAGGATCTCGCTCTTCAGCAGCATCATGCATTGTGTAGCCTGCTCCACGACTCCTTTTTTTTTTTTTTTTTAATCAGTGTGGTGTTGCTGAAGCAACAGAGAGGGATTCGAACCTATTGCTCCATCTATGTGCTGTAGTCTGCGGTGAATGTCCAAGGCACTTTGCCCAGTGAAAGTCACGCGCAAATTCTGTGGAGCCTCTGGGTCAGCATTGGTATATTTTCTATGTGCCTGACAGACACGCTTTAAAAATTCAGAAGGCTTCTCATTCACTTTCTGGATCTCCTGGACTTTGTTTATGCTTTTCTGTTTAGGTACTCCCTTCCTCAGGCCTGCCAGAATGCACCTCTGATAATGGTTAACTTTAGCTTGGTCTATATTAATATTTGGGTCTCCATTTGGTTCCATCATAGGAACAGCAGCCTGTGAGTCCAGTCTGGTTGGGGGTCCTCATCATAGAGACTTGGGCCTGCTCTTTTGCTTTTTCTTCTACCAGCTGGCATTCCTCTGTCGTCAGCAAGATATTTAGCAACTGGGCCTCTCTGGTGGCACAGCTGGTTGAGCGCAGCACTGTGAAGCTGTCCACAGCCTCTGCAGTGCAGGTTCGATTCCCGGCCAGCCAGGGAGATTCCCATATGGTGTGGCAGACCTCTCCTGCCTTGCCCGCTGCTCCCCTCAGCAGTGTCTTCGGTCCATCTGTCTGTCCTGCTTCCCACTCTGTCTCTGGTGAATCCTCTCATCCTTCCATGCCTCTGGCCTGTACCCCAGCTCTTGTATAAAAATAAATAAATCTTTAAAAAAAAAAAAGAAATTCAGCAACATTTGAACATCTGCCCATGTAGGGCGGTGGGGTTGCAAATACAGTGGTAAAAAGATTGGTCATTTTCTGTGGGTCACCCCTATAGTTTGGATTAGAGCTCTTCCAATTTAAGAGGTCAGAAGTTGAAAAGGGACCACAGGTCCAATAAAAAACAGCCAGTCACCCTTCATCATTCGATCCCCTATGGGATATTGACACAATGGAAATAGCCCTGTGCTGACTGCATATGCTCCCTGGCCAAACTGTGCTCCTTTCCTAGTTTTATAAGGGGAAACCATATCTGTCCCAGTCCCACGGTCAGGGGGTTCAAGTTGGGTACCTTCTGCCATGAGGGCATTCTCAGGCAAAGGAGGATATATTGGTGAAGGAGGTAGAAACTCTTCCAGAGGGGGAGAAGGGTGCAAATTCAGTAAGTTTTCCCTTCCTGAATTTTGCTGTCCTGATATATAGTTTTTCTTTGCACCATTAAAGTTGTCCCCACCCCCACCACGTCCATATTTTCTTTCATATGCAGGTGCATAAATTCCTAAACAAATGGGATCTCATCCTTCCTTCCTTCCTTTTTTTTTTTTTGAAGATTTATTTATTTATGCATATAAGAACTGGGGTACAGGCCAGAGGTGTGGACGGTGAGAGGATTCACCAGAGACAGAGTGGGGAACAGAACAGGCAGACTGACCGAAGTACACTGCCGAAGTCCAGCTCCGACCGGTGCAGGGTCCCCGGAGGACGTGGCGGCATCGGCGAAGTGGAGGCGTGAGGGGAGGGGAGAGATGAGGTAGATGAGTTAGTGAGGAGACACTGACGCTTGATCAGGGTGCAGACATCTCCTACTGATAGCCTCAGCAGAGCTTTATTTATACATGAGAAGTTTATTATTTGATCATTACATCATGCAATCATGATTGATTTTACTTTTACATTGTTTCAGAAATTAATGATCATTAACAGTGCACAGACCTTTTTTTAAATGTTCCTAGTCTATGATTAACTTGGTCACTTGGTTACATTATTTCCTTAGGTGATATATGTTATTCAGAAAATAAAAACAGGTCGTATATACAGTGTGATTTATGCTGTCAAGCTAAAAGATTAAGCAGGATTGTAAGATCGAGGGCGGCTTCCTATTTTCTATATAGAACCAAGGGGTCCCGGTACCATGGGGACAGTATGTGGTGTGTTTTTCTCAGACCATTTTGCTTCCTGGGGTGCCTCAGGGCCTTCCCTAGTGGGGACTTTCACTGGGCTCAGTTCCATGGGTTCTATCAAGTGTGGATTGTTAAAGAACTCTGTTACTCATGGTAACTAAATTACAAATTGGTGGAAGTGGAGAATTATTTGGAACTGTTTCATTATTGATCATATTAGAACGTACTTTTCTCAAACTACTGAAGTGTGCATTACTGGCACACTTCAATACTGCCAATACTCATTGTGTTATTTTGAAGCTTATAGAAAATTTCCATGGTTTCAAAAACTGCCACAAACTAATGAAAGGAAGTAGCAGAAGCTAGCTATCGAGTTTTCTGACTTTTCAGAAATCTGCCCCATGCCCGGACCTTTGTCAGATGGCATGAGTAGCATGGCCCGTGCCAGTACACTGCTGAGGGGAGCAGCGAATCAGGAGAGGTCTGCTGCGCCATGCGGGTTGCTCCCTGACTGACCGGGGAGCGAACTCATGCTGCAGTAGCTGTGGATTGCTTAGTAGGTTGCGTCTTAACCCCTTGCACCACCAGGGAGTCCCCCTTCCTTCGTTTTTTATGCTAAACCTGTCCTTTGGATATAACTAACACCTCTGTCTCCTGGAGAAATGCCTGGGAAACTCACTGGTGCCCTGGTGAAATTTTTCTGAGTAAACCCAAGGACCCCACTCTGAACCCAGCATCTCCAAAACTGACTTCAAAATGAATTCACCAACTAACAGTTATTGAATTTACCGCAGGAGGCTGCAATGGCAATTTCCTGTGTCAGTAGAGTGTGTGGGTGCCAACGCCCCTCTCTTAGAAGGGGAAAATCAGAAATACCCATTCAAAGTCAAGCATTTTTTAATAAAAAGAAAACTGAAAAGGGGCGTCCCTGGTGGCACAAGGGGTTAAGACACAACCTATGAAGCTGTCTGCAGCCACTGCAGCACGAGTTTGATCCCTGGCCAAGGAGAAACACACATGGTGCAGCAGACCTCTCCTGCCTCGCCCGCTGCTCCCCTCAGCAGTGTATTTCAGTAGATCTGCCTGTTCTGTTCCCCACTCTGTCTCTGGTGAATCCTCTCACCCTCCCTCACTTCTGACTGTACCCAGTGCTTGTATAAATAATAACTTAATAAATCTTTTAAAAAAATAAGCAAAGATATAATTAGCTTCTGAAAAAAACTTGCTTAAATCTGCATTACCTAGTCCTTCTAAATTTGGCACCTCTTACTATTTGTCAGCCATTAACGGGCTTCATCAAAATTCATGCTTCATCCCTAGCATAACTAACAATACTTAGTTATTATCCCTTTAACCAAAATAGCAAAGAGAATTCTAGGCAAATACAGAAAGAAGAGAGTTTAGCTCTTTAATACGTGAAGACTGAATTTGCTTCTGTAATCGAAGACCTGATTGAAACTCCTATAGCAGGGCCTATAGTGGGAGAGACATGAGAGGTCTGCCGCACCATGTGGGTAGCTCCCTGGCCAGCTGGGGGATCAAACTTGTGCTGCAGTGACTGTGATAGCTTGATAGCGCTGTCTTTAACCCCTGTGCCACCAAGGAGACCCTAATATATATATATTTTAAAAGGACAGTTTTGTTAGGAAAAAAGAGAAAGAAAATGAGAGGTAACTGCAGAGTCATAGGAAGATTTTAAAGGAATTTCTTCTTTTGTGTCCCAACAGCTCTACATTTTGGCTCCTCAAGGTGTCGGTCTTGACCTTGGGGCTTGGCATTATTTTATTTATATTGGGAAGCACATACCTCTATGAGGAGTCCAGTGGTCTCAAACCAAAGCTCCCACTTTCTGTGCCGACTGTCCAGATACTGAAGCTTCTACCTGAAGGGCATCTCAGGGACCTCTTCACCTATGATGGAGTCTGGTGAGCTCGCCCTTTCTCCTCCTGTGATTCCTGGTTCTGTCGTGCCCACTTTGTAGCCTCTGCTGACCAATGATGTGATTCTAAACTCTAAGGCCAGAAAGGGGTGGACTGCAGGGCATCGTCTCTGTCCTCTACAGTACCCAGCAAGTTCCCTTAAGACTGTGGAGGCCTGTATGACCAAAACCATGGCAGAGACGCTGTGCTGCCTGCACTGACATTCCAGAAGTTTGGTGTGGGGGGCATAATTCCAGAGAGGGGACTTTGTTTCCTTTGCCTGCCCCTCCCTGGGTCTGTTGGAGGGTCGACTGCGGAGATTTCAGGGTCTTACCCCAGTGACACAGGCAGGTGCGGGAAAGGGAATTCTCAAGCGAGCAACACACTGGACTGGACCTCAGATTCCCTCTTGCCCAGCAGCCCACCCGCCTACTTCATGTTCACAGACCTTTTGCTTATTGTAGGCTGTTCCCGAAAAATCAGTGTGAATGTGGAGCTGCCAGATGGCGGGGCTCTAACTTTCAGGACGCCTACGGCCAGAGCGACCTCCCCGCAGTGAAAGTGAGGCGACAGGCTGAGTTTGACCACTTTCAGAGGAGGTAATGCAGACCAGGAGGCGCTGGGTGCTGAGGCAGAACCCGCGCTCTCTCTGCTCCATCTTCAGGGTGCAGGTCCAAAGAGAAAAGCAGGGAACTCTCTCTAGCCAGGCTCCCTGCGAGGATCAATTAGGAATAAACCAAGGAAAGAGAACTGAGGAAATAGTCCATAAGTGAAGATTCATAAAATGTTGCACATCTGGCCTCTCCAGTGGCGCAGCGGGTTGAGTGCAGCGCTGTGAGGCTGTCCGCAGCCTTTGCGTTGCCAGTTCCATTCCTGGCCGGCCAGGGAGATTCCCACATGGCGCAGCAGACCTCTCCTGTCAAACCTGCTGCTCCCCTCAGCAGTGTATTTCTGTCCTGCCTGTTCTGCTCCCTGCTCTCTCTCTGGTGGATTATCTCACCTTCCCACGCCTATGGCCTGAACCCCAGTGCTTGTATAAATAAATAAATCTTAAAAAAATATGTTGCACATCCAAAATATTTCACATTAAAACAAAGAAGTGAAGAGAGTTTAAATATCCAGGTATAACCCAGGCCATCCCAGCAGGGGGCTTTGCCACCTCCTCAAGCTGCACCCTCTAGTCCATTGATATGTTGAGAATGCAACCTCCCCTGCTAAGTACAAGGCCCAGATACCTTTGGGGGTTACTGACCAGGGCTGTTGATTGTAAAGAATAGAAATTGATTCTGGCCAGCTTATGGGAAAAGGGAATTTTGGGGAAAGACGACAGCACCTCTCCGAATCCATCAGTAGTAGTAGGATGGCAGGCCAGTAGGCTCCTCCTCTTGTTGCTTTTTTTTAAAAGATTTCTTTATTTATTTATACAAGCACTGGGTACAGTCAGAAGCGCGGGAGGGTGAGAGAATTCACCAGAGCCAGAGCGGGGAGCAGAGCAGGCAGAAGGACCGAAGTACACTGCTGAGGGGAGCAGCGGGCGGCAGGAGAGGTCTGCGCGCCATGTGGGACCCTCTGCTGGGGATTGAATCTGCGCTGCAGAGGCTGCGGGCAGCTTTGCAGCCCAGTGCTCAACTGCTGCGCCACCAAGGAGGCCCTCCTCCTCTTGTTTTTCAGCCATCAGTTGTGTGTTAAGCTGGAAGGCATGCTGTAATAATAATAATAATAATAATAATAATAATAATAATAAAATAGCACCGTAATTAAAACTTGAGTTCTGAAACTGGCTGGAAGTCCCAGTACTTTAGTGTCTTCATATGAAAAATTCTAACAGATGCTTCCTTCACAGCCTTCTTGTAGGGTGCATTGTATTCATATGCAAACAACGAGTCACTCACAAAGGGCATATAAAAGTACATCAAAAAATATTACCTACTATTATTGTTTTGTTTTATTATTAACATTATTCTTATAGTTCTACACAGGCAATCAAGAAATACATAAATCACTTAAATATTAGATCATTATAAGTGTTATGTGGAAATACGAATGAAAAGATTGTGGTAGAATGCTATCTGATGGTATAATTTTTTTTTTTAAGATTTATTTCTTGGGCCTCCCCGGTGGCGCAGTGGTTGAGCGCTGGGTTGTGAAGCTGCCCGTGGCCTCTGCGGCGCCAGTTCGATCCCCGGCTGCTCCCCGGCCACCAGAGGAGGGTCCCACATGGCGCGCAGACCTCTCCTGCCGCCCGCTGCTCCCCTCAGCAGTGTACTTCGATCCTTCTGCCTGCTCTGCTCCCCGCTCTGGCTCTGAATTCTCTCACCCTCCCGCGCTTCTGACTATACCCAGTGCATGTATAAACAAAACAAACAAACAAATAAATAAATAATACATACCTCTAAAAAAAAAAAAAGAGATTTATTTCTTTATGCACAAAAGAGCTGGGGTACAGGCCAGAGATGCGGGAGGATGAGAGGATTCACCAGAGACAGAATGGGGAACAGAACAAGCAGACTGACTGAAAAACATTGCTGAGGGGAGCAGTAGGCTAGAGAGGAGAGGTTTTTTGCGCCATGTATGTTTCTTTCTGGCTGGCAGGGGATTGAACTCTTGCTGCAGAGGCTGTGGATTGCTTCATAGTGCGGTGCTTAACCCCTTGCACCACCAGGGAGGCCCTGATGGTATAAAATTTCATGGGATGATGAAGGAAGGTAACCTTGAACTCTGATTTGTGTGTAATACAGTATCTCTGGTTTTTCTGCTGAAAATAAATGGTAAGGCTGCAGGAGACCTGTTAGCTGGAACAGTGGCTTGTTCCTCTGTGAGAATCAGCCGCCACGTCCCTGCCTTCATGCGCTGCTACTGAGCCTCAGTTGTGAACCAAGGAAGGGAACCCTCCAGGTTTGATTTTGGGCATCAGCCACTACTCCCCTGCAAACTACATACAAAGGGAGAACTCCCCAGGAGAGAGATGGAGACACTAACAGGACAGAGCGTCAGAGAGTCCGTGGAATGCTCGATTGAGTCTAGCAAGATCTCAGCCCCGGCCCCTCCTGTCCGGGTGAGGAGGAGCAATAGCGCAGTAGTTAACTGGATTGCCCGGGAGGTGCCAGGGGCATCCAGGTCCCCATCCTCCACACCCCAGCCAGGAGACCTTAGTCCCAGCTAGGGACTTTGGGCATGTTGCTTAACCTCCCCTGTAAAATGCAGGTAACAATAGCAGAGTTGTGGAATTTAATGAGTTCATATACCGAAGGGTTTAAAACTGAATCAGCTTTGTAGCCTTAGGGAGACTATAGGCTAGGAGAGAAAAGAAGACTGTAAATGAACATAACTCCATGCTAAGTGCTCACATCAAGTGGTGCCTGTGCCCCTGCTGTGCTCCCCTAATACCCTCTGCCTTCCCCCACCAGGATGCCTCCCACTGGCCTCCTGGCCTCTTCACCACAGTCCTGTGGTTCGGGACCTGAGGCACCTGCCACAGCAGGCTCAACAACGCCTGTGGAATAAGTGGCTGGTGTGAGTGACTTAAGAGGGCAGGTGGCTGCAGTCTCTGGCCCGTGCAGGGAGGGACCCCTGCTGGGAGAGGCCTGCAGGCACTGCCTCAGAGATGCAGAATGCTGAAAGGGAGGCCTGGGATGGAGACATGTTGGGAGCTAGGGGGAGGGGAGGCCGGAGAGGACTGGAGGCTGGTGACTGTTGGGAGCAAGTACTGGAGCTGTTATAGAGCAGCCCCGATATTGAACGGGTTCCTGGCTGTGGGTCCTCACCCGCGCGCTTAAAAGGGACTTATTAATACTCCACTACAGGCACACACAAAAGGTTAATAAAAGGTTTATTTACAAGGGAAAAGGAAATAAGGAAAATGTACAACTCAGGGAGAAAATAGGGAAATAAAGTCTTTAATGCGTCCTACCCGATCCGCTGACCTGGAAACCCAAAAAGCACTCTCCGAGCTGGCCGGACGCTGCGAGCTGGCGGAGAGCCAAAATGGGGATCCCCCAAAGCCCACGTGTCTGGCTTTATACCAACCTGGCTGCTTAACCCCACCCTCAGGTCCCAGCCACCTTCCCTTTGGTGGTGATGGGATTTGGAGTTCCCAGTGTCTTTGGCTTTGGCCTGGGGTGGGGTGGAGTCCACAAAGCCTGTATGGGATTAGCTTTAGGACATCCTTTTCCCCCTAACAGAGGGGTCTGGAGAGGGCGAAGAGTGAGAGGAGTCTCGAGACTTAGAAAGGCAGGTTTTCAGGAAGGAGGGAAGGGGCGGGGCACAAGAGAAAGACAGCCTGGCCCTAAGGATCTCTGACCATGTTCCATTGCGGTGACAGAATTGTTTAGGTCTGTAAGGACGGAGAAGTCAAAAGTGCCATGTTTGGGCCAGTGGGAGCCATTGTCCAATTGATACTGAGGCCGTGCAGTGTTGCAGTAAAAGGCGAGACAGTTAGGGCGTTAGACGAGACGCTTAGGGCGTTATCTGTTGCAGTAAAAGATGAGACGCTTAGGGTGTTATCTGGCCTAAGTCCCAAGGGACCGAGGTTTGAGAGAAGGCATCCCAGTGGTGTGGCCGGGCTTGGCTTGGAATTTGCGGACCCCATGACTAAATCGGCTCCTTTTCCCAACCGACAGGGGGCACAGTGTCAGAAACGCAGCGTCCCACGAGCCTGACCTGGCCTACAGGGGTCACAGCCCCGGATCGCGGCGTCCCCCGGTCTGGTTCTGGCCAACAGGCAGGGGGCAAACAAGCGAGGGGGACGTCTCCACCGCTCGGTTGTTGCCTAGACAGGGCACCTAGTCTGGACGGGCGTCCCCAAATCCAGGCCTAGGTGTAACAGGGGGTCGGCTGACGTGGGCCCACAGTTTACAGGACAGCCGACCAAAACAGGAGGTTAGGAAAGGAGCCGAATAGCCAGAGGCGAGGGCCTCCCAGGAAGGAGGGTCAGGCAGGTGACTTACCCCAAGGATTAAGGCCGGTGGTGGGTGTGAGGTGTCTGCAATGGAGAGGAGAGGTCCCAGGGACGAGAAGGCAGCCCCGGCGTCAGGGGACACGGCCTTCCCGGGTTTCGGCACCAAGATGAAAGGTTCGGCGCGGTAAAGAAAAGAAGAGCCAGGCTACATTTCTCAAAGGAAGGGAAAGTTTATTGCGCCCCGGGCGGACCTCACACACCCAAGGTGGGGGTCAGTGAAGCTGCGCACGTTGTTAGGGGGAAGCAGGGTTTTATAGGGCGAGGAGAGGTCAGGTGGGTAGTTGGGCTCGGGCTCGTACTGCGGGAAAAGTTTGTAGGGCAGGTAGAGGTTCTTTGTCTGAGAAGAGACTCGTAGGGGGAGCGGGGAGGCTCATTGCCTGAATCCTCCAGGCAGGTATCCGCATTCCTGCCCCCGAGGTGGGTTGGCTCCTGCATTCAGGCCTCCTGCATGGACCTTTCAAAGACCAAGTCGCTGGCCATGTTTTTGATGGAGCCCTGGGGTGCTGGGCAACCCTGGAGGTTCTTGACATCTCCACAGGAAAGAATAAGGACAAGAAGTTGCCTTTTGAAAGGGGCAGGGTCAAAGAGATGCCCCTTAGATGCCTTCTAAGTCTGGGGGTGAAGTCTGAGCGAGGGCTAGCTTTAGTGCTCGTATTGTTAGTGGCATTTCTCCCTTTGGAGTTAAGTTTGTTTACTTTTTACAAAACTTTTTTGTTTACCCCCACCTCCGGTTCCTGGCTTTGCCAGTAGATCTGCTTTGCTGGCTTTGCTGGCTTAATAGCTATGTTAATCACCTTGATCTCACTCTGCCTCTGGCTCGTTAGTCTAGGAGGCCAGAAGTCTGGAGACTGCTGTTGAGGTGTTTTTCTCTCCCAGTGGGGTGTCCAGGAATGCAGTTGGAGCCAGTTAAAGGTCAATGGCGAGGAGGAAGTATATGTAAAGTAATTTAGTGAGTTTTATCAGTTAATTCTAATGAGGGAATACAATTCAGTGGTCAGAGTAATTCTGCTTTTTGTTTTGGCAACACCACTCTGATAAAAGGGAGTAGTGGGGCAGGCTGCACAGTGCAGGTTGCTGCTGAACAAGCAAAGTCCTGGCCTTTTTATTGATAGAATAATCATGCAGCATCAGTTACAGGGGTAGGAGGACAAAGAGAAAAAGATGGGTGAAACTAAATGTGTTTTAGTCATCTAGGGTTTGGGGGTACATGAGTCTGCTTGTTATAGGACAGAGAGAGGGGCAGCCCAAACCCCGCAAACCTGCCTATTCTAAATGGGTTCTGCCATCCGCCGCATCAATACAAAACATATGAGACTTTAATGGGAAGGAACTTTAATACAATTAGGAAACAATACAGGAAAAGCAAATAATCTAGTTTCTAAATGAAACACCCAAAGTTACCCGTCCCCTCGTGGGTAAAACTCCATCCAAATGGGATCGGCCCAGAACAAGGCCCCAAAGCCTGCCACAAGTCTAAAGCATCTTCCAGTGGGGACCCACAGAAAAGGGTCAGAAACAACCAGACAAGCCCGGAAGGAAAAGAGCAAAATCAACATCAAGATAAAAGCTGCCATGGTCACCTCCCCACGGGTCTCACCCACATCTGTGTCACCCAGTCCACGACCAAAAGACAAGCGCAGTTTCTTCACGTGTCTCTAGGCTCCATGCGCCTCCTCCAGGTCTCCTGGCTCCATCCTGCTTCCTTCCTCCATCTCTTCTCCAGCTTCTCCTCTTCCTGCTCAGCTCCACCCTCTCTTGGGTGGGGCAGGGAACCTCCCCCTTTCCTGGGGACCACCCTGTTACATGCTGACCAGATAATTCTTATCTGCTTGATGACCAAGTGTTGTAACCATACCTCAGACCCCAGTCATGGTTCTAATTTTTAAAAAAGATTTATTTATTTGTGCATACAAGAGCTGGGGTGTGGCCAGAGGTGTGGGGGTTTCAGTGAGGGAGTCCTTGAGTTACCTCTAAGGAAAGTTACGGGAGAATTCCTCTTTTAGGGGCATATGATGAGTTTACCCAGGAGATGAATACTTTTATATATAGACACAGGCAGGTAAAGTTTACATCTTCAAAAGGACAAGTTTACTAGGAAAAGGAAAGAAGATGCTTACGTAGAGACAAGCGGGCAGGAAGGGCTGCCCCTAAAGGGACAGGTTTGTTAAGAGAGGCCTGCTTAGACTGGGCAGAGAGCTTGCAGGCATTGGTGCCGGGAGATTGTTCTGATAAAGTGTACTTTTGGAGGGAGGGGCCCATTCCTTTGTGGACTTGTTCCCTATTGTTAAGTTAATCACTTCCAGGGTGTGACTGGGTAATTTCTAAGAACTGGTGATTTTCTGTAATGGCCCTCCAGCTCCATACCCCTGCTTCCTGTCCAGGTCTACAGGTGCTTTATAGCAGTCCACACATCAGGATGTTCTAAAGATATTTTTCATTTCTATAACTGGGACAGTGGGCGAGTCAGGAGAGGTCTGCTATGCCATGTGGGTGGCTCCCTTGCCGGGGAATGGACTCATGCTGCAGTGACTGCAGACAGCTTCACAGGTTGTGTCTTAACCCCTTTTGCCACCAGGGAGGCCCTTCACTGTTTTTTAAAGCTGCATCTTCCTGATTAATGCCGAAACTGATCATGTTTCATATACTACTAGCCATTTGTGTTTCCTATTTTATTTATTGCCTTTTTATGTCTTTTTCCATTTTCAAATTCTGTCTTTTTCATTTTCCATAAATATTCTAATAGCCTAATTCTTTTTCCGGTCATCTAGTGATGTCCTTGGTTATATTGGATATTTGGTTAAACTGAAGGCTACATTTCAACCACATGACCTTAGTGCCTCAAAGAACTGGTCTCACTGGCCTGTGTTATGTGCTTGTCCTTAACTGAAGTTTGCTACAATAACCACAGAATCATATGAAAGCCGTCATCATTTTTCTAAAAATATGGGACAGCGTCCTCTCCCATATAAAGTTTCTTGGGATATATTTTAATTTTTTAGTTCATGCCAGGGAAAGTTTTACTTCCTTCAGGAGTTGATCTGTTTTGTTCTTTTGATTATACGATTTGTCAATCACTTTATACCCTGGCCACCTGGAGTTCAGATGGGACTTTCACATGTCAACACTGAAGTTCAGCCATCCTGTAGCTGGGTGGGTCTAGACAGTCTGCTTATTTTGTTCCTTCTCTTTTGCTAGTTGTGATCTTTATTTATTTATTTATTTTAAAGATATATATATATATATATATATATATAAGATTTATTTGTTTATACAAGCACTGGGCACAGTCAGAAGCGTGGGAGGGTGAGAGAATTCACCAGAGCCAGAGCAGGGAGCAGAGCAGGCAGAAGGACCGAAGTACACTGCTGAGGGGAGCAGCGGGCGGCAGGAGAGGTCTGGGCGCCATGTGGGACCCTCCTCTGGTGGCTGGGGAGCAGCCGGGGATCGAACCGGCGCTGCAGAGGCTGTGGGCAGCTTCGCAACCCAGCGCTCAACCGCTGCGCCACGGGGGAGGCCCTCTTTATTTATTTTTAATGTGTTTGTGTTTTTTTATAAATTGCTTCAATTCCCTTGTGGAATTAAGGGACAGGGGTGGGAGGGTGGGGTGAGAGCAAATGACAGGAGAGAGAAGGGAAAGGGGAAGGCAACCTACTTTGACTTCTCCCTACTGGCAGCACAGGGCTGTGGCGCTGGCACCACTTGAAGACCTAATGGGGCAGCTGCTAATGCTCTGTTTCCCTGCAGAGAAGGGTTGCCCCGCCCACCACCCCTGCTGGCTCAGCCCAACCTCCCCTTTGGGTACCCCGTCCACGGGGTGGAGGTGATGCCCCTGCACACAGTTCCCATCCCAGGTATGTACATCTCCACAAGGAGAACACCCAGCAACTACCTTATTCCTTCTTAGGTAACAGCAGAAGGTGGAAGGGATTGGTTGTTCATTGAATACTTGAAAGATGCTTGACATAATTTCATTTAATAGTAGTCTCACAGTTTCTACCCCTGGAAACTGCTCTTAGCATCTGTAACCTACCTGGGCTCTGAGATAAGGTAGAAGGAGGGCTCTCTCCAGCCATCCTTGTTTCATTCTTGGTCTTCCCCGGCATCATGGCGGTGGGCAAAGTAGGGGCCCATCTTGGGGGAAGTGCATATTGAAAAGAATGTGTGTCTCTTTAAACTCCCTTCCACAGGGGTTTGTTTTACTCATTCCTCTAGTTCAGCCTTACCTCTCTGTGAAGTAAATATTATTTTCCCAGTTTCACAGATGAGTTTAGTAAGTTATCTTACCAGTAAGTTATCTCATACAGAGAGGATAGGTTTGCATTAGCACTTGAATATTAGTCATATTTTAGGAACAGAGATAGACTCTGAAGATGAATTGGGGATGCATTGCTAGTGTTCTTTTAATAGTCATTTGAAATTATTTGCCATTTTGGATGATTTTTTTTTTATTGAGGTAAAATATACATTATACAAAATTTACCATTTTGAAATGTATGGTTCTGTTGCATGAAGTGTATTTTAGCACTAACTCCTCTCTCCCCACTGTCCCTGGCAACCACCATACTACTTTCTATGAATTTGACTATTCTCGGGACTTGATACAAAGATGATTCACTATCCATTGCTTCCTTCCCTTCAGTAGTAGAGAGACCTGGAAGGGACTGCATTAATTCACAGCACCCATCCAAAGCTGAGGGTGGGTACCAGAGGATTTAGAACCACTGGAATCTGAGAAGGACCATGGACACCATCGAACAGAACCCTGGGGAGAGGGGATGGTTAGCCAGCAACACCCTGGAGAGGAGGTGAAACTTGAAGGGACTCTGGAGGGATGTGTAGGAGTCAGCCAGGAAGCTGAGAGGACAGGGGAGCCCTGGGCAACCTCTCAGCTGGTGTTTTTTGTCCTCTCCCCTTGTCTTCCAGGTCTCCAGTATGAAGGACCAGATGCCCCTGTCTATGAGGCAAGAGCTCCCTTCCAGCCCCTTTAACACTTGGCCTCCAGTCCCTTCCATGTCCCTTCCCCCAGTGGTGGCTGCTCTCAGATTTTCCATGAGTATGCAGACAAAGTATCAGGTGTAAATCCAAGGTCAGGGGAGGAGGAAAACACTCCTCCCATTGAAGGCAGGGGTATTTTCAGCCAGCGGAGTGGCTGTAGTTCCAGGGGAGACTTCCAACAAGTGGGCCACCAGCGCGCTGTTGCAAGGAGAGCTGGGGCCACGGCCACGGGCTCCTGCCAGGTGCTGCTGCTGTCACAGCTAGCCCTGGGAGACCCCAGAAGGAGCCCCGCGAGACCAGTGCTGTGCCACGCCCTTCTTCTCCCACTTAACACAGCTCCAAATCAAGGTGCAAGCCTGTGTGATCAGTGGCAGGTAAAGCACTCCCACACCCCTAACTAAAAAGGAACGTGGAAACTGTAGATTTTGTGTTCCCATCTGCACGCTGGACAGAGATGGGAACGGGTGATGAGTGGGCAAATCTGTAAAGCCACTGTAGCCTCCAGAGGTCTGCGAGAGCCCCCCTGATCTCCCCAGCGCCCATCTCTGTCACTTTCTCCATATGCATCATAGCTTTTACCTGTCGCTGAGTTACCCTCTGAGCATCACGACATGCGTATTGCCGCTCTTGCCCGCTGGAACAAGGGTCCTGAAGGCAGCCACTCTGCCTTATTCACTGCTCTTCCCAGTGCCTGTAATTTGGATCTCAGAAGATGGCTGCCAACTGACTATAGGGTTTTCAGCAGGAGTGACATAACTCGATTTACTTTTTTTTTTTTTTTAAAGATTTATTTAAATATTTATACAAGCACTGGGTACAGTCAGAAGCGCGGGAGGGTGAGAGAATTCACCAGAGACAGAGTGGGGAGCAGAACAGGCAGACTGACAAAGTACACTGCTGAGGGGAGCAGTGGGCATGGCAGGAGAAGTCTGCGTGCCATGTGGGACCCTCTCCGGCAGCCGGGGATTGAACCAGCATTGCAGAGGCTGAGGGCAGCTTCCCAGGCCCACTCAGTTTACTTTTCACAAGGAATGGCTGTTGCAGGAGACGAGAAGGCAAGGCAGTAGTGTTAGGGAGCTGCAGCGGGCATGGAGGGAAGCTACATTTTGAAGGTGGAACTGAGGGCATTGACTGACAGGTTGGCGGTAGGTGTGAGGGACAAAACAGAACGGGAGTGATCTGAGTGGATGAAGATCTGTTCACGGGACAGGGAGAATGGGGAGAGGGTAGAAACAGGTGCATAGATAAAACCAGTAGTTCAATTTTGAAAGTATCTAGTCTGTGAAACTTCCTAGCAGCAGCCACTCACGCTGCCAGCTCTTTTTTTTTTTTTTAAGATGTATTTATTTATGCATACAAGAGCTGGGGTACAGTCCAGAGATGCGGGGGTGAGTGGACTCACCAGAGACAGTGGGGAACAGAACAGGCAGATTGACTGAAATACACTGCTGAGGGGAGCAGCGGGCGAGTCAGGAGAGGTCTGCTGTGCCATGTGGGTAGCTCCCTGGCTGGCCGGGGATCGAACTCATGCTGCAGAGGCTGTGGATTGGTTCATAGTGCGGTGCTTAACCCCTTGGGCCACCAGGGAGGCCCTGCCAGCTGACTCTTAAAAAGATAACCGCTGGAGATGACCGCTTTTAATGACTAGCCTATGAATGTAGTTAAAGCTGCCTCCAGTGGTGAGGTGTGGAATAAGAAGAGAAAGAGGTACAGAAGCAAACCCTGAAAAACTCCTTTTGGAGGTCAGGCAGAGGAGGAAAAGGCATTGGCAAATGAAAGTCTTTAAAAGGAGCAGTCAGCAGGAAGAAGAAGAAAGCGAGAAGGCTGGTATATTGCAAGGCAAGCGCTAAGAAATCACCCCTGAATGTACCATCCGGGTTGATTCTCCTTTACTGGGGCAGAGCAGCCTCCTCCTGCAGAAGCTCTAGATTCTCTCACCCTTACGTGCTCTGCCCCCTGCTGGCCATCTCTGGCATGTGCCTTTCCTTGCATTTATCCTCATTTTACCTCACCTACCCCAGGTCACCCTGACAGCTTCTCTGGGTACACTGAACACCCTCGCTGACGTCCCAGACAGTGTGGTGAAGGGCAAAAGCCAGAAGAAAATGACCATTTCAACCAATAACCGGAAACTTTTGAATTTCATCCTCCAGCACGTGACATACACCAGCACATTGTACCAGCACCGCAGGGTGGATGTGGGTGAGACATTTGCCGGTCCTTGCAAGGCAAATGCTTAGGAAGCTGGGAAACACCTCTGTACCCTCTCAAAGTCTTTCTCCTCCAGGAAGCCTGCCTGCATTTAAGATTTTTCCCTTGTTCCTATTTCTAATGCTGGACGCCTAACTTCCTAATGACAGTACTCAATACTGTCTCCATTGAGATTCTCCGAGAAACGGACAGGTGAAATGCCTGCTCATCTTTGTGATGATCTCGTGCACATCTGGGAACCCTCCGATTCTGTTCCCCAAGCTCTGTAGCTCCCAAAGCTGAAGGGTTCAGCCACGGTAGAGGAGGGAGCCAGTCAATATCTTGTCTTGGGCACTAACTGACAGGGGCAGGTGTGGGGGAATTCTCAGTCCCTCCCTAGGGCCGTGGCTTTGTCTCTCCCCCCACCAACCCAATCCCAATCCCCAATCCTCCCCAGGAATTCCCTGGATAACAATTCCTGCCACCCTCAGGACAGGCCCAGATTCTTTCTGTATGATTTAGTCCCTTTTCTCTTTGAGTACCTACATGGGATGCAGTCCCAGGGCAACAGTAGAAAAAGTGAAACATGCGCTGGATACCTATGAGCACAAACCACATAGAGAATCTCTCCACCTTCATTTTTCATACATTTCCTTTAAAATGACCCCGTGCTGTGAAATGGTGCAGGTAGTATTATCCTGGTTTTGTTGATTAAGTGATTTACCTGACCTTTTTCAGAACATAAGTGGCAAAGTCAAACTCCATCCAGACTCTCTGATTCCCAGCCCACCCACCCCGCAGATTCTCAGGGAGAGAAATGGGAGTTTGGGAGGCATTCAGCAAGTTGCCCTGCAGACCAGGGCAGGAGCCTGAGTGCCATAGAGTCGCATTCTCTACCAAAGAAACCTTCATGACCCCATCTCAGACCTCCCTAGGGGCAGCATGGAGAGTGTCCCAGACCTGACCTCCTTTCTCCCTTTAGTGAGTCTGGAGTCCAACTCCTTAGTGGCCAAGTTTCCAGTGACCGTCTGCTATCCCATCATACCCAAGTTATATGACCCTGGACCAGGTAAGGCCCTTGTTTCCAGAGCCCTGTGGTGGGATCCCATAGAACTATTGGTGGAGTTAAGAAAGGGACTCACTCTGAGATGGAGCAGGAGAATCCATCAGAATAACAGCTCTGTGGTTTTTTTTTTTCCTGATACAATTTTTTAAAAGATTTATTTATGCATACAAGAGCTGGGGTACAGGCCAGAGACACAGCGGGTGAGAGGATCCACCAGAAACAATGGGGAACAGAACAGGCAGATTGACTGAAAAACACTGCTGAGGGGAGCAGCGGGTGAGACAGGAGAGGTCTGCCTCGCCATGTGGGTTTCTCCCTGGCCGGCTGGGGACCGAACTCATGCTACAGAGGCTGTGGATTGCTTCATAGTCTATGCTTATGCATATTTTGAAAAAAAAGAATTAAAACACTTTAATAAGTAGTGAAAAAATAACATTTCTAGTGTATGACTTGATATCTCAGTGGAATCAAGATTGGAAATCTGGAAGTAAGACATGTTGGAATTTTTCCATGATCTAAAGATGTTAAAGTGGGGGAGGAGGAGAATGGATTATTCAAGAAATCATGTGGGATAGCTGTGTGGCTATGTGGAAGAGAAAAAGTTGAATCTGTCTCACAGTTCACACCAAGATAAATTCCAAATAGATCTTAGATCCAATTTAATTAAGTACTAGAGGAAAAACCCAAGGAATTTTAAAAACAATCTCAGAGTATAAGACAAACATAACACAAAACCCAGAGACTATAAAGACTAAAAACATAAAATACATAAACTTTGTTAATGTTTTTATGGCAGAAACCAGCCATAAGCAAAGTCAAATGACAAAAACATCAGCAAAAGCATCTTCAACATGCTTTAAAACCAAAGGTCTACATTTACTTGTAGGCACTTATGAATCAGTAAGAAAAGAATAGTTAATAAGCTGATGGAAAGATGTACAGTTCACAAAAAATTGAACTCAACTGTGCTTTTAACCATTAAGAGATATGCCTAGGGGCCTCCCTGGTGGTGCAAGGGGTTAAATCACAACACTATGAAGCTATCGGCAGCCACTGCAGCATAAACAAGTTCAATTCCCGCCAGGGGCTAACCCACATGGCGCAGCAGACCTCTCCTGTCTTGCCCGCTGCTCCCCTGAGCAGTGTATTTCAGTGGATCTGCCTGTTCTGCTTCCCACTCTGTCTCTGGTGAATCCTCTCACACCCCACACCTCTAGCCTATGCTCCAGTTCTTCTACATTAAAAAATAAATAAACTCTTTTAAAAAAAAGATATATGCCTAATCTCACACTAAGGTGTTTGGGGTGAGGAGTAGAGAGCAGGTGTTCTTATCAACTGCTGGTGGGGAAGAAATTGGTGCTACGGAGCTGGAGGCAATTCGTTAGTATCCACCAGCCTTTTAAATGTGTACGTAAAGATCCATTCCATGGTTTCTGACAAAAAGCTTACCTCTGGATCCACATGACTTTTATTCCAGCACCCCTCAGAGTCAGCCTCCTCCACTGCTCTGACCCCAGAATGCAGCACCCCACTCCAGCTATTGTTTTTTTCTGTTCCTTGGAAGAACTGTAGTTTGTTTTTCACTATGACTATATCTTTGCATTTTCTCTATCATTTTATGTGTTTGGTAAAAAAGCAATCTCAAAGCAGAAAGCTATACCACTGGCTCGGCTGAAGTCCCCAATCTTGACCTTGCCCTGTGAAGATCATGCCCCTGGTTCTCATTAAACAAAAGAACCAATTTTATCATGTGGCCTAAGGAAAGAAAAGGGAGGCAAGGATTCATTTCACATGCTCTGGGACACAGTGTACTTGACTTTCCACTCATATCTGTTCCCCTCACTCCCTCAGACCCAGGAGGAGCTGAGGTAATAATGCAACATGGATTAAAATGGGGGTTCTGGAAAGACTTCTGGTTCCAGTCATGCAGAGAAGATGACTCTGCCGTGGGGTGAAAAAACACCCACAAAACCATAGAGGCAGGGGCATGGCTTTCAGTTAGCTTTCACTCCCCTGGAGCCCACCCCACCCAGACACCCCACTGCTCAGTCATGGGGTCTTTCCCATAGAAAAACTGTCTCTGCTCAAACCTTCTGATAAATCACTTGCCATAAGATGGACAAATCTGGTCCAGGCCTTCCAACCTCCAAGTAGGCCTATTAACACTCCTGTCTTCCTGAGGAGGAAGGTCAACAGGGCCAGGTCCAGAGTTCCACAGTCTCATGACCCTCTGCATCAAACCCTCTGGTTTACAGCTCAGCTCCTGGCATTCACACAGAAGCAGGGTGCAGGCAGGGGTGCTGACAGCAAGCACAAAATAAAGTCAGACAGACGTAGGAAATGGTGCAGTGGAGCCAACAGAACCAGAAAAAGAAACTAGAGGACCGATCAAATTTTAACACATTAGTCACATTTTGAGTATGTATATTTTCAAATCCAATGAACAAATTCCTCGGCGCCTACAGAGACATGCGGCCCATAAACATGTGAGGTAGTGGCATAAAGAACAACGCAGCCCAGGACAGTGAGGCTGCTTGAAAGCCAGAGTTCTGCCATCTCCCCTTTGCTGCTCAGAAAGGAAACTCAGGAACCTGGTGACCATCGCCACCAAAACTTTCCTCCGTCCCCAAAAGCTCATGACCATGCTCCAGAGCATTCGTAAGTATTACCCAGATTTGACCGTGATCGTGGCTGACGACAGCAAGGAGCCTCTGGAAATCAATGACGAAAACGTGGAGTATTACTTCATGCCCTTTGGGAAGGTATGTCCCTCCCAGGTAGGGAGACACCTGGGTCTGGGCGCGATAGGTCCAGAGTCAGAGTCTACCCTGGGTGGGGCTGCCTCAGGGGACTTCCCAGGGAATCAGGATCCTGGAGTGGGAGGGGGTAGACTCCCCTGTCATTCCCCCTAATGGGGTGGCTAATCCACTTCCTGACACTTAGTGTGGGAATTGTTTGAGGTCTTTCTAAATGATATGAAGTGTCTGACATCTCTATGGTTTGAGCCAAGCTGGAGTATTTCCTCCTCTGTGTGTCTCTTCCTCCCGTCCGCCCCACCCCTTCCTTCGAGGGCACAATGAAGGAATGGACAGTGGAGTACCCCCTCCTCCAACATAGTGGGAAATGAGTCACAGAAATCCTGTCAGGTTAAAAAAGGGCTGTGACCCACTGGCCACAGGTGAAGGAAGGGCTTGCTTCTAGCCTTTCTTTGTCTTAATCTCTGATCCAGAAAGTCACTGCCCTTCCAGTGTCTCCGAGACATGGAGGACTCCTGTTAGCCCAGTGGTTCTCAGCTTCAGCTGGACGTTGGATTCACCCACGCAGATTCTGATTTAGTTTGGGATGCAGTCTGGCCGTTGGGAATCAAGAAAACTCTCCACGTGGCTATTCTGCTAGGTAGCAAGGGTCAGCAGCCACTGATGGACCTTGCTCTGTCCCCAGGGTTGGTTTGCTGGTAGGAACCTGGCCATCTCGCAGGTCACCACCAAATACGTTCTTTGGGTGGACGATGACTTTCTCTTCAACGAAAAGACCAAGGTCGAGGTGCTGGTGGAAGTGCTGGAGAAAACCGAACTGGACGTGGTAAGGGAGATTTGTCAAGCTCACATCAGCTGCAATCTGTAGAGACAGTGGGAAGGGAGGGCCTGATGCAAGAGATGAGTAAGCCAGCACCGCTCTGGGGTGGAGACATCACCCCCAGAATCAGGGCATTGAGTGGGTCCTGCTCTGCCTCCGTACTCACTTTTCTTTATCAAATTGCACCAATGCCCCCCACATACACCATGGTTCTATTTTTATTTATTTTAAAAGATTCATTTATTTTTACAAGAACTGGGGTACAGGCCAGATGTGCAGGAGGGCAAAAGGATTCACCAGAGACGGAGTGGGGAGCAGAACAGGCGGATCTACTGAAATACACTGCTGAGGGGAGCAGCGGGTGAGACAGGAGAGATCTGCACCATGTGGGTAGCTCCCTGGCCAGGGATCAAACTCAGGCCAAAGTGGCGATAGTGCTGAGACTAGTCTACCAGGGAGGCCTTGGTTCTATTTTTATTTATTTATTTATTTATTTATTTATTTATTTATTTATTTATTTATTTATTTAATATGTATTTATTTACACAAGCACTGGGTACAGTCAGAAACGCGGGAGGGTGAGAGAATTCACCAGAGCCAGAGCAGGGAGCAGAGCAGGCAGAAGGACCGAAGTACACTGCTGAGGGGAGCAGCGGGCGGCAGGAGAGATCTGCGCGCCATGTGGGACCCTCACCCAGCAGGGGATGGAACCGGCGCTGCAGAGGCTTTGGGCAGCTTTGCAACCCAGTGCTCAACCGCTGCGCCACCGGGGAGGCCCTTGGTTCTATTTTTAAAATGATGTGTTGATGTGTTTCTTGGAACTTGTGCCTTGGACTGGTGTGAAAGTAAGGAGACTTGTGCTCTGGTTCAGTCACATGTGATTAAAAAAAAAAAAAAGCAAAAGGCACAGAGCTGTAAAAGTACAGATGACCCTAATGGCATTTAATAAAAAGGGAAATGATAAAAACATCACAAGTCCACTCATGGAAAAGAGAAGAAAAAGTTGACTACGTGCACACAGAATGGTATCTCTGTAGGGGTGATGTCTTGATGGTACAGTGTAATTATATCGAAACATCAAACTGTGCAACTTAAATGTATATTACTTTTCTATATCAAAGATCTATCTGTGCAGCTGTTTAAAAAAGAGGCTGGGGGAAGCAGTAAGAAGTGGCTTTGTGGCCACAGCTTGCTCGTTCACTCTAAGTAGACAGTCCCCAGAGCATCCAGATTGACTAAAACATTTCTTGGCTACTTTTCTAGAGGCCATAGCACAACTGAGATAGAAGGAGGGGATAGGGCCTCCCCTGGTGGTGCAGTGGTTGAGCGCTGGGCTGTGAAGCTGCCTGCAGCCTCTGCAGCGCCGGTTCAATCCCTGGCCGCTGGCGAGGGTCCCACATGGCGCGCAGACCTCTCCTGCCGCCCGCTGCTCCCCTCAGCAGTATATTTCGTGGGTCTGCCTGTTCTGTTCCCCACTCTGGCTCTGGCGAATTCTCTCACCCTCCCGTGCTTCTGGCTGTACCCAGTGCTTGTATAAATAAATAAATAAATCTTTAAGAAAAAAAAAAAAGAAGAAGGGGGGGATAATCCAAGGGAGCATTTTACTTTGCCTCCTGGGTCCCCCTGTCACTCCGCCATCATCGTGGTCCTTGGTCTCATGGCCAGAGGAAGGAAGTGGAGGACAAGCAGCTTTTAAGAATATGATTTAGGGCCACCACCTCTGCAGAGCTGGTTCTATTCCCGGCCGGCCAGGGAGATTCCTGGCACATGGCACGGCAGACCTCTCTTGTCTCACCTGCTTCTCGCCTCAGCAGTGTCTTCGGTCCATCTGCCTGTTCTGCTTCCTGCTCTGTCTCTGGTGAATCCTCTCACCCTCCTGCACCTCTGACTGTACCCCAGTTCTTGTATGAGTACATAAATCTTAAAAAAAAAAAAAAGAATATGATTTAGAGGGCCTCCCTGGTGGAGCAAGAGGTTAAGACGTAGCATAGGAAGCTCTCTGCAGCCACTGCAGCACGAGTTCGATCCCTGGCCAGGGAGCAGATCTCTCCTGACTCGCTCACTGCTTCCCTAAGCAGTGTATTTCAGGCGATCTGCCTGTTCTGTTCCCCACTCTTTCTCTGAATCCTCTCACCCCCTGCACCTCTGGCCTGTACCCCAGTTCTTGTATGCATACATGAAATAAAGCTGAAAAGAAAAGAAAAAGCAAAAGAATGTGATTTAGAAGTTATGGACACCCCTTCTAAATCATATCTTACTCCCAAACTTGGCCACATGGTCAAACATTGCAAGGGAAGTAAGGAAATATCCTGAATTGGATAAAACTGTCTATGTCTTAATGTAATCACGTTAAAACTTGTTAAAACTCAGAGGGGTTCATTTACTAAAAGGGAGAAGAAAAGAATCAGTGATGGACAATTAGACTTTATGCCACCCTAGATGATTATGTTGGGCTCTAGAAAAGGTGAGCTTTCTACAGGGGAAGCACAATAGAGAAGTTGTCTGTCTTTGGACCTGGTGGAAGTGCTCTCTGCTCCTGCCAAGATTTCTGGGATAAGCAGGAATGAAAAGATCCAGGAGACCCAACCAGTACTTACTGAAGGCTGTGGCTAAAGCAGCAAAAAAGAAAGGGGGTAGTATAAAGAGTCACTAGAGAAAGGGTGTGATTCCTGATATCACTGTGGTTCAGTCCAGGAAGGCTTCCTGGCAGAAGCAACATGAATATTGAGTCTCCGCTTTTTAATGTGACTTTTCTACCCACCGGCTAGGTAGGCGGCAGTGTGCTTGGAAACACGTTCCAGTTTAAATTGTTGCTGGAGCAGGGCAAGGATGGGGACTGTGTTCACCGGAGGGCAGGCTTTTTCCAGCGCCTGGATGGCTTTCCCAAATGCGTGGTAACCAGTGGTGTTGTCAACTTCTTCCTGGCACACACAGAGCGGCTCCAGAGAGTTGGCTTTGACCCCCGCCTGCAGCGAGTGGCTCACTCAGGTAGGGAGGCTGGAGGAGGGCGGGAGAGAACTGGGCTGTGAATTGACCACAGAAGTTTGTTATTTCTGAGGGCCCTGTACCACATCCCTCCACCACACCAAATCGGGGCTTACCCAGCAACTGTGGGTTTCTTTCCTCTCTCACCCCAAACTAGGGAGCTCAAGGATTCTGTTACTTATCTCTCTCTGAGACATGAGCTTATTTATTTCTTTCCAACTCCTTAGCCTTAGCAGGTGGGTTTTACATGTGGCTGAACCTCCCCCCAGAGGTATAAACTGTGTCTCCCTCCCCCTGACTTTCCTTCCAGACCTGGAATGTAACCCTGCATTTCTGGCTGAAGCTGACATTTTCTCGCCATGTCTCCCTCTCTTTGCAGAGTTCTTTATTGATGGGCTTGGAAGCTTGCTTGTGGGGTCATGTCCAGAAGTGACTATAGGTCACCAGCACTATTCCTCAGTGGTGGATTCGGAGCTGACCACCCTGGAGAAGACCTATAAGACATACCGGGCCAACACCAAGTCCCAGGTCCAGTTCAAGCTGGCCCTCCACTACTTCAAGAACCATTTCCACTGTTCTACCTGAAGGTGCTGGGCATCGGAGAAGCAGGCTCGCTGGTCATGGTAACAGAATAAAGGAACCAGTGGTCAAGTGGCCATAAACAGGACTTCTGGGGCGACTAGATTGGGCCAGACTGTACCAGTCAAAGCTAAGGATTATGAGAAATGGACCATTCACTGATCAAGACAATGGAGACTGGATTGACAATCATTTGTCTGTATGTTGCCTCATCATTTATGAAGCATTGGCACATGTAACATCTCTCATCATCCATTTGTTCTCACACCAAAGAGCTTGTTGGTATCCTTAGTCAAAAGTATGGCTGCCGGGTCCTTGAGGGTTAATTTGTGGAAATTTTAACACACTTGGAAACATCCTCTCCAGCATCACTACCATGCGCAAATTTTTATCTGGTCCTAAGGCAAATAATGTAAATAACCCAGGGCCCTTGCCATGAGGCGGTCGCAGCCTAGCTCAGTGGCAGTATTGGCAGATGGGGGCCAGAGGGTCTGTGGTGAGAGCATGAAGAGCGCTCTGGAGTAAGCCCATCTGGACCTGGGACGATGGTTGGGGTTCAGGCAGTTGGGGAGGGAGGAGAGCTCTGGGGTATCCACTGTCTGCCGGAAGAAAGATCTCCCTGGCATCAGACTCACTATCACAAAGACACATTCCAGAGCGCCAGGGATTGAACTTGGACCCTGTGCCAAGATGCTATGATAAACTGGGTAAGGCAACCATTGAAGTCTAGGGACTTGAGACCAACCGCTGACCGGTCAAGACCCGTGTCATCACGGTCAAGACCTGTGTCATCACGGAGGCGCCATCATGTGGTGGTGACAAAGGCCTTAGCTATGAGCTGGGAGTCAGCCAATGCTACAAATGCTGCTGTGGTTGCTCCTCTTTCCTCCTGAAGATGGTCTAGGGTAGTTTAGGGTCTCTGAAAATGTGTCTGTGGGGCTATTAACAAAACTTCACGAAAAAGTGTCTTGATGATCAAATAACCTTGAAAACTCCTACATACTGATCCTTCCTCTTGGAAAATTCACATTCACATACGGAAAGCTCCCAGAAGTTGTCCTGCAGTAAATAACTCGGTTAACTTTCTCTCATGCAACATTTTTCAGATATGGATATAGGCTGGCAGTCAGTTTTTATTCTCCCAAATCAAAATTCAACATATACCACATTCCATTGTGTATATCATAAAGATTCTATTGCAAAAAATTTTACAGCTTGTACTAACTTGCATGGTAATTTCATAGAATAGTACCTGCATTTTACTTACAATGACATAGCGAGATAAGATGATGTTGGATTGTTCCATTTAGTACTGCCTTTGGACCCAGGCAAGGAGTCCCCTTACCTGGATCCTGTGCTTCAAAGGACATTGCAGGGCTCCCTGGTGGCTTAGGGGTTAGGTCTCAGAGCAATCATCCCTATGGCCTGAGTTTGATCCCCTGCAGGAAGCTGGCCCACATGCTGCAGCAGACCTCTCCTGTCTAGCTCGCTGCTCCCCATTCTGTCTCTGGTGAATCCTCTCATTCCACGCACACCTCTGGCCCAATTCTATACACACACACACACACAGAGACACTGCCTGTCATAACTGCATATACTTACTGGTGAACATCTGTCACTCAGGACCCGGTGCTCAGCACTAGGACAGTACAACCTGTACCTCAATCTCCATCTTGGGGTTAACACTGTTCAGGCCCCAGAGAAATGCTTCTCCAGTTGCCTTGTGCCCTCAAAACCAAAGGTGATTGTACCTAAATGAACTGAAAGTTTGGATGTTCATTGGGAGTGCAGGTAAGATTTGAACTGCAAAATGTGTAAATAAAAGAAAAAGACGCTTTTTGATTTCTCCAATTCTTCCTCAGATATCAAATAACAATAGAGTTGTGGCTCATACCTATTTATTTTTTGTCTTGCAACCTGTGGTTCAAAAAACACTAAGAAATCAGTGTTGCGCAGCTAACATGGTAGCTCAGGACATTTAAAATGATTACACATTTTTCTTACTCTTCAGTTTTTATCTATATATGTATGTAGATCTAGATGTCTCATGTTAGAAGTATGATACCAGTTCTTTACTTTGGGAATTAGGTAGTTATGGAAGGCCAAAATTGTAATGATTTTATTTTTATAAAGTTTTTCTTTTTTTTTTTTTTCTGGGATCCTTGCCGGTGGCCGGGGATTGAACTGGCTCTGCAGAGGCTGCGCCACTGTGCCACCATGGGAGGCCCTTTATAAAGTTTTTTAATAACTATTTTTCAAAGAATAAATTTAACAGACTTGAAATAAATTTTTTTAAAGATTTATTTTTATTTATTTCTGCATACAAGAACTGGGGTGTAGGCCAGAGATGCGGGGTGGGGGGGTGAGAATATTCACCAGAGACGGGGCGGGGGTGGGGGGGTGGGGCAGAACAGGCAGATTTACTGAAATACACTGCTGAGGGGAGCAGCGAGTGAGACAGGAGAGGTCAGCTGTGCCACGTGGGTTAGCTCCCTGGCGGGGGATGGAACTCGCCATCACGGTGACAGTGCTGAGTCTTCACCCCCTAGATCACAAGGGAGGCTTCAGCAAACTTTTTTCTAAAGGACCATTTATTAAATATTTTAGGCCTTGTGGGGCGCCGTAGGTCCTATCATATAATGTTTTTTTTTTTTTTTTAAAGAGGCACGTATTTTATTTATTTATTTGTTTGTTTGTTTTGTTTATACAAGCACTGGGTACAGTCAGAAGTGTGGGAGGGTGAGAGAATTCACCAGAGCCAGAGCGGGGAGCAGAGCAGGCAGAAGGACCGAAGTACACTGCTGAGGGGAGCAGCGGGCGGCAGGAGAGGTCTGCGCGCCTTGTGGGTCCCTCCTCCGGTGGCCGGGGAGCAGCTGGGGATTGAACCAGCGCCGTGGAGGTCGCGGGGAGCTTCGCAACCCAGCGCTCAACCGCTGCGCCACCGGGGAGGCCCTATCATATAATGTTAATTTTTTTTTTTCATTTTTGAAAAATGTAGAAACCATTCTGAGCATGTGAGATCATTCAAAACCAAGCCATAGTCTACACTGGGTCCTCAGGCAGACTGCTGTCATTGGCTACAAATCATATGAAAAATCCCAGTGATAGGGCCTCCCCGGTGGCGCAGCGGTTGAGCGCTGGGTTGCGAAGCTGCCCGCGGCCTCTGCGGTGCAGGTTCGATCCCCAGCTGCTCCCCGGCCACCACAGGAGGGTCCCACATGGCACGCAGACCTCTCCTGCCGCCCGCTGCTCCCCTCAGCAGTGTGCCTCGGTCCCTCTGCCTGCTCTGCTCTCCGCTCTGGCTCTGGTGAATTCTCTCACCCTCCCGCGCTTCTGACTGTACCCAGTGCTTGTATAAATAAATGAATGAATAAATAAATAAATTTTTGTAAAAAAAAAAAAGAAAAATCCCAGTGATAGAAACGAATTTTACTGAAATAAAAGCCAGAATATTCAATATTATGAGATAAATATGTGATAAATTATGAGATATATATATATATAATTCATGGATATATATCTTCTTATCCAAATGGCACCGATGCATTATCTCAGCTGCCAGATGTGCGCTGTCATTATTACTTTCCATGGCACTGGTATGTTGCCGACTTTCAGTCATGAAAACTACAGCTTTCAAGTGTTTTCGATTTTGAGAAGATAAAGATGTATTTGTCAAGGTAAGAGGACAGAACATTTAACAGTTAGCTTCAGCTAAACAGTTAAAATGTAAATAAACAGCCGGGCGTGGTGGCGCGCGCCTGTAGTCCCAGCTACTCGGGAGGCAGAGGCAGGAGGATCGCCTGAGTCCAGGAGTTCTGGGCTGCAGTGCGCTATGCCGATCGGGTGTCCGCACTAAGTTCGGCATCAATATGGTGACCTCCCGGGAGCGGGGGACCACCAGGTTGCCTAAGGAGGGGTGAACCGGCCCAGGTCGGAAACGGAGCAGGTCAAAACTCCCGTGCTGATCAGTAGTGGGATCGCGCCTGTGAATAGCCACTGCACTCCAGCCTGGGCAACATAGCGAGACCCTGACTCGCAAAAATAAATAAATAAATAAATAAATAAATAAAAAATGTAAATAAACATTTAGACAAATATTTCACTGGTGTGCTTGCCCCAGGCCTGGCTCCACAAACACCTTTGTCTACCTGATGAATTACCTGAGTTCCTGTTACAGGGAATAGAGCTGTGTGTCTCCATGGCAATTGTAGTGCGCCCCCACACCCCTCAGTGGGGAGCATTTTGACATGCTATAATTATCAACAGTTTGTTCCAGACACGTCTTCCCTGTTCCAAGATCAGGAACCATCTACTCCAACAGAGAAGAGTAGTTGAAATGAAGCTCTTTGCAGGGTATTTGCCTAAACTGTGAGCCAGTTCTCCAGAATTCTCCAAGAGCTAGTCAACTACCCAGAGAACATGTGACCCCACTCCCAGGTCAAAGTGTATTGGACAGGGCCTCCCTGGTGGCGCTAGGGGTGAAGTCTCAACATTATGAAGCTATCCACAGCCACTGCAGCATGAGTTTGATCCCCAGCCAGGGAGCAACCCACATGGCCCAGCAGACCTCTCCTGTCTCACCCGCTGCTCCCCTCTGCAGTATACTTCAGTCAGTCTGCCTTCTGTTCCCCACTCTGTCTCTGGTAAATCCATTCACCCCCCGCAACTCTGGCTTACACCCCAGTTCTTGTATGCATAAATAAATAAATTTTTTAAAAAAGATGTTAATAAGAAAGTGAAAAAACATGCCACAGACTGGAAGAAAATCTCTGCAATACCAATATTTGGCAAAGAATTCTTAGATATAGAAAAGACTCCTATATGAGAATAAGATAAAGACAAATTTTAAATGCACAAAATACTTGAAGAAACACTTATTAACAAGATATCTAAAAGGCTAGCGAGCTTGAAAAAAAGATGTTCAACATCATTAACTATCAGGGAGATGCAAATTAAAACCACAAGGAGAGATCATTATACACCCACCAAAATGACTAAATTTAAAAGACTAATAATACCATCTATTAGCTACGATGTAAAGCAACTGAAACTCTCTTACACACTGATGGTGGGAGTAGAGTAAAACCACTTTGGAAAGCTGTTCAGCAGCTCCTAATAAACTTAAATACACACTTACCCCATGAGCCAGCAATTCTATTCCTGGGGCTGTACCAAGGGCCAGGAAAGGATTGCACAAGAATAGGCCCAGCATTTGGTTATGTTAGCCACCAACCAGAAACAACACTAATATCCTACAACTGCAGAATGGACGAACAAATTGTGGGATCATAATATAATGGGATACCACTTAGCAATAAAAAAAGTACTACTGATATATAAATAGTGACAAGGGTGAATCTAAAACACTATGCTGAGCAAAAGAAGCCAGACACAGCAGCTCTGGTCCCTAGACTGCCCGCCTGTGTCCATGCTGGTGTCTCTTTTAACAAGCCTGTTCCTCCCATATGCAGTTCCTTCTGCCTGCTTGTGTCTGTGCAAACGTCCTTTTATTTCATTTTTTAATATAATAAACCTTTATATATATGTGTGTGTGTATATATATATATATATATATATATAGCCAGACACAAACAGTATCTGACAACATAGTATATTCTTTTTTGCTAAGTAGTACTCCATAGTATTCCAATGTATGAAATATACCATGATCTGTTCATTTATATATATCTCCTAATTTTGGTTAACTTAAGCTGAGTGTCCAAAGTGTCCTAAATACCACCACTCCGCATGTCTGCCTGTGTTCAAAACAGAAAGGCTTAAGTAAAAGCTCTTCTCCTTGGTAATTTGGAAGCAAAAATCAGGTCACAGACAATAACAGTCTTCCCTCCAGCCCCGAATTTCAGACATAACAAAGCAACCTGGACCAAACCAATGATGGAGGAATCCTTTCAGGGCAGTGAAGTTGCCCTGATACTTCCTGTTCAACTTCAAGGACAAATTGGTACAAAAAAATTGATGGAGCCTCCAGGGGGAGCTCAAGCTTGCTTTCTAAAAAATATTACACTTGAAGAATAGACAAATCTACAAGCCAAGGAAAAAATCTAAATGTCCAACTACAGGTGAGTGGACAAAGAAGTGGTATATATCCATGATGGACTACTATTCAGTCATAAAAAAGATGAAATCCTGT